CATTGGGCTGAGAGTTGGTTACCAGTTGCTCATTCTCAGTTTCCTCCGCTGGTAACTTTCCCTCCAGACCCCATTTTAAACATTGGAGCAGCCCAGACCTTGTCATGGGCCACCTCCTCGTTTGGCACACTCTCCCAAGGTGACCTCAAATACCAGAGCTTTAAATAGTATCTATAGGCCAGAGCTTCCCAAATCTAGATGTCTATTCCTGATCTCCTCCTGGAAGTCTAGACTCCAGTATTCACATGCCTGTTTCCTCATAGGTCTCCAATGAACAGCTGAAATGTGACACGCCAGGCAGTCTTGATGTTTTTCCAGCCAACTTATTCCTTTCCTGTCTTCCTCATTCTAGTAAAAAAAAAAAAAATGTAACCCTAGCTGGTTTGGCTCAGTGGATAGAGTGTCGGCCTGGGGACTGAAGGGTCCTGGGTTCAATTCCCGGTCAGGGCATATGCCTGGGTTGCAGGCTTGATCCCCAGTAGGGGGCATGCAGAAGGCATCAATCAATGATTCTCTCTCATCCTTGATGTTTCTATCTCTCTCTCCCTCTCCATTCCTGTCTAAACTCAAAATATATTTTTTAAAAATGTCATCATCCCATTATTAAAACCAAAGGACTAGCATTACCTCTGATTTCCTCTACCCTCCCCATTAATTCTACCTCCAAATCACAGCCCAAAGCTAGTCCCATCTCCATGTCAGCCGTGCAATCCATTCTCCACACAAGAATAGGAATCAATATAAACTGTACATCCGATCATGCCACTCCCTGGCTTAAAACCTTGCAGTGCCTTTGATCATCTCACTTAGAATCAAGTCCAAGTATAAATGGTGAGGATGCTGGGAGGAAGCTGCTGCTGGAGAGAGAACTTGGGGTGACAGGAGACAACCCCTGCCTGACCCAGGACCGCTGTGTGAGTGATGGTCTAGCAAGGCCTGGGCAGAGCAGGCTCCCTCAGTGTGTGTGCTTTGTGGAAGGGCACTTGTACCCCAAGGTGCCCCTGGGGCAGATCCCTCGGGTTCTCTCAGGTCCCAGTGTGAAACCAAACCCGGGTTTAAATGAAAGCTCAGAGAATGAAGCCCTGTCCCCAGCTCCAAGCTGGAGTCAGCTCCCAGAGCCCAGAGCACCACCGCCTGAAACTGGAACCCACCCATCCCACCATGGAGCTTCTGCCTGAGCATGTGCAGGTCACCCCTTCTGCCCTGTCCCTCTTCACACTGGTCCCCAAGCAGCAGCCAGTGTGGTCCTGTTAGCCCTGAGCTGGGCAGGTCATTCTGCTTAAGACTCTGCAACAGAGGAACCAAGATGGTGGCATAGGTAAACACCTGTACTTGCTACCTCCCACAACCACATCAAAATTACAACTAAAATACAGAACAACTATCATCCAGAACCATGGGAAAGCTGGCTGAATGGAAGTTCTGCAACTAGAGAGGTAAAGAAGAAAGCGCATTGAGACTGGTAGGAGGTGCGGAGGCACAGAATGGGCTGGTCTGGCACCCATGTATGCCGCTTTTATAATCAGAAGGGAGATCGCCTCTACGGAGGCCGCCCAGAAGAGCAAAGGGTCCCAGCCCCACACCAGGCCCCCAGCCCAGGGTTCCAGAGCTGGGGAAAGAAGTCCCTACAGGCAGTAAGAACTATGGGCTGTAAAAACCAGTGCAAATTGAGGCTCAGTGACACAGAGGCTGCTGGAGACCCAGTTCCTCCTCTTAAAAGGCTGGCACTACAAACTGAACTTACAAGTTTCTGCTTGCTCTGAGCTCCAGTGCCTGGTGAGGCTCTGGGGGACCCAGACACATACAAGTAGAAACTGGACTGTCTGGCTTCAGGGAAGGAATGTGGGGGTAGCTTTCTTCCAGACAGAGGTGCTCACAGTGGTCATTGTTCCTGTGCTGAGACCTCCCGAGTGTAGGGCTGACTGGCAGCCATTTCTTTTTTTTTCTTTTTTTTATTGCTTAAAGTATTACAAAGAGTATTACATATGTCTCCTTCCCCCCCCCCCTTGACATTCCCCTGGCCTCCCCTACCCCCCAGTGTCTTATGTCCATTGGTTATGCTTATATGCATGCATACAAGTCCTTTGGTTGATCTCTTACCCACCCCCTCACCCCCGAACCCTCCCCAGCCTTCCCGCTGTAGTTTGACAGTCTGTTCGATGCTGCTCTGCCTCTGTATCTATTTTTGTTCATCAGTTTATAATGGTCTTTATTATCCATAAATGAGTGATATCATGTGGTATTTTTCTTTCATTGACTGGCTTATTTCACTTAGCATAATGCTCTCCAGTTCCATCCATGCTGTTGCAAATGGTAAGAATTCCTTCTTTTTTACTGCAGCATAGTATTCCATTGTGTAGATGTACCACAGTTTTCTAATCCATTCATCTGCTGATGGACACTTAGGCTGTTTTCATATCTTAGCTATGGTGAATTGTGCTGCTATGAACATAGGGGTGCATATATCCTTTCTGATTGGTGTTTCTGGTTTCTTGGGACATATTCCTAGAAGTGGGATCACTGGGTCAAATGGGAGTTCCATTCTTAACTTTTTGAGGAAACTCCATACTGTCTTCCATAGTGGCTGCACCAGTCTGCATTCCCACCAGCAGTGCATGAGTGTTCCTTTTTCTCCACATCCTCTCCAGCACTTGTCGTTTGTTGATTTGTTGATGATAGCCATTCTGACAGGTGTGAGATGATACCTCATTGTTGTTTTGATTTGCATTTCTCGGATGATTTGTGACTTTGAGCATGTTTTCATATGTCTCTTGGCTTTCTGAATGTCCTCTTTTGAAAAGTGTCTATTTAGGTTCTTTGCCCATTTTTTTGATTGGATTGTTTATCTTCCTTTTGTTAAGTTGTATAAGTTCCCTATAAATGTTGGAGATTAAACCCTTATCGGTGATAACATTGACAAATATGTTCTCCCATGCAGTGGGCTTTCTTGTTGTTTTGTTGATGGTTTCTTTTGCTGTGCAGAGCTTTTTATTTTGATGTAGTCCCACTTGTTTATTTTCTCTTTAGTTTCCAATGCCCTAGGAGCAGTATCAGTGAAGAAATTGCTTCGGCATATGTCTGAGATTTTGTTGCCTTTGGGTTCCTCTAGTATTTTTATGGTTTCCCATCTTACATTTAAGTCTTTTATCCATTTTGAGTTTATTTTTGTGTATGGTGTAAGTTGGTGGTCTAGTTTCATTTTCTTGCATGTATCTGTCCAATTTTCCCAACACCATTTATTAAAGAGACTATCTTGGCTCCACTGTATGTTCTTGCCTCCTTTGTCAAATATTAATTGAGCATATTGGTTCGGGCCGATTTCTGGGCTCTCTATTCTATTCCATTGATCTATATGTCTGTTCTTGTGCCAGTACCAGGCAGTTTTGAGAACAGTGGCTTTGTAATACAGCTTGATATCTGGTATTGAGATACAACCTACTTTGTTCTTCTTTCGCAGGATTTCTGCAGCTATTCGGGGTCTTTTTTTATTCCAGATGAATTTTTGGAGCATTTGTTCTAGGTCTGTGAAATATGTCGTTGGTATTTTAATGGGAAGTGCTTTGAATTTATAGATTGCTTTGGGTAGTATGGACATTTTAATGATGTTGATTCTACCAATCCATGAACATGGTATGTACTTCCATCTGTTGGCAGCCATTTCTGTTTGCTCTCCCCTGGAGATTCCCTGAGACCCTGCCCCACCCAATTTACAACCCCACCCAAGTTGTGTT